AGGGCAGCCTCAGGGTCACAAGTCCAGAGAAGTTGTGTGTGCGCGCCGTTCTGGCCGAGAACGCCTCGCACTTACTACAGCCCACGATGTTCCCAGGGATGTATAGAACATGCCCCCTCGCCGCGCTGGGCGGGACCTCCCCAGACCTCGGCAGAGACTCCAAGGGCAGGTCCGCGTCCGCCAGCGACGGTGGGGTGCCCCTAGAGGCGCGCTTCACGCCACGCGAAGTCGCATCCACGACGGCACCAGCAATGGCCGCCTGAGGACCAGCGGGGTCACTCGAGGCCTCCAATGAATGCACCCTTTTTCGAGGCACGAAGCGCGGTTGATCCCTCGCAGGAGGAGGAGGAGGAGGAGGAGGAGGAGGAGGAGGAGGAGGAGGAGGAGGAGGAGGAGGAGGAGGAGGAGGAGTGGAGAGGGGATCCACGCAATCGGAAGCAATGGGGCAGGGTGGGGGGTTCGGCCAGAGGATTCGGCACTACAGCCTCGGGACGAGGGAGTTCCGAGAGGAGGAGGTCGCTCGACGGGCTCGAAACCGAAGGAGGTGGGGTGACCCGAGGCTTGACCCTGTGAGACCGATCCTCCTGCTCATGCTCCTCCTGCCCATCGTCGTCCTCCAGACGACGACTCGACGACCTCCCCGCTCCCTGCGTTTCGTCCCCGTCGGATTTGGGAGCCGCCAAGGGCTCTGGCCTGGGTAGCGCGCTGTGCCCCTCGGGGGCCGATCGCTCCAGGCCTCGGGACCTGGTGACTCGAGTGGTCTCCAGGTCCTCATCCCTCGGGTCCTTTCGCGGCCCCAGGACCTCGGGCTCCCCTGGGCCACGGGCCAGGTCGGGCCGCGTCTGGCAGCGGCCTCGCTTGGGGCGCTCCAGACCCGCCAGGGAACGGGCAGACCGTGGGCAGTGAGCGCAGCGCCAGCCACGCTGGCACTAAAAAGGACACGTGTTTTCTCATGCCCACTCGCTCGCACTGCCTCTCCTGGCCTGGGCCGCCGCCGCCGCTGCCGGCAGCCCTGCCAGCGCCGCGCCTGCTGGCCGCTCGGCCGCGGCGCCCCAGGGTAGGTACCCTGTCCGCTGGGCGCGCCTCCAGGTTGGCCTGGCTGGTGCCGGTCCAGGCCGCCACCTTTCGCACCTCGGCCGGGAGCTCGGCGTGGCGCTCGTACACGGCGCCGGGCACCCCGCGGATCGCCAGGTCTGTCTTGGCCGCTATGTCGGCACAGTCATCGCCGATTTTATCTGGCGACTCGCCTGTTCCTTGCGGAAGGGGCAATAGCGCTATCAGTGACGCTTAGCGGAGGTGCGCTGTTTGCTAGTTGAAAACTATTCCGATTCCCGTCAAGTTTGATCGTCAAGGTCATTCTTGCAATTTTTACGCGGGCTCCTCCAACGTCACTTATCTGGCGACTCGCCTGACTCCAGGAACGTCTGGTGGCCTTTGACCCAGCTGATGAGGAGGTCTGTGCCGAGTCCGCCCTGGTCCTCCAAGGCGTGCCACAGCTGGAGCCACACGTCCACGTTGTCCCTCCGCGGGTGCGTGGCGTGGCGTTTCCCTTGCTCCAGGCCCGCCACGATGCCCAGGCGGTCCGTCTTGATATGCACGGGGAGCTGGCCGTGCTTCAGCACCTCGATTACCGCGCAGAGCTCTCCCCTCTGCGCTGTCTGCTGAGGGCCCGGTGAAGGCCCACACGCCATGCCCAGCAGTCCCTTGCCAGTCATCGCCGCGATGCCCCAGCCAGCGCCATTCGCCTCAGGCCAGTGCAGTGGGCACTTGGCCGAGCCATCGGTGAAGATCTCCCCCGTGATCCTCATGTCCCTGCCGCCCATGCAGTAGTACCAGGACTCGGTGTCCACCCGCTGCGGCAGCGCAGGGAGTTCAGCCCGCGGCAGGAGGCCTCTCGTGTTGAAGAGGTCGTTGGGCGGCGCCTGCAGTGCCCGCCTCCTTTTGTCTGCATCCACGGCCTCCGTGCGCATGTCGACCAGGTTCGGGCAGGACCAGAGCCGATGATGAAGGTGTCCGCAGCAGTCCTGGCAGAAGATGCAGTTGGGGTCGTCCGCGTAGCCGGCAGAGTAGAGCCTCTGCTGCGTCCACTGGGCCCCAATGACCGTCGATCGCAAGGCCCCGCGCGCTCTCATGCTCAAGTTCTACTTGGATACCTCTGGGTTGGCGTGGAGCATGGCCGCGATCGGCTCGATCCAGTAGCCCCGGGGGTCACGATGTGCAGGAGGGAGCTCAGGTGCATGCTCTCGTCTGTTGGACCACTCCTCCCATGTCATGTTGCTGTAACTGCGCCTTACCTCGACGCGTATCCGACTCGGCGACATGTCAAGCAAGTCAATCGTGATGCCATCTCCCGTGGTCCAGCGCGCCGCCGAGTGGGCTCTCCACCCGAGTCGCCGAAGGAGTCGCTGCACCGCTCCAGCGGGGCCCGCGGCTTGCCCCCACGTGGTACTGGTCAGCGTCCTGGCCTGAATGGCTCAAGCCTTCTCGAGGACCCAGACCTCCAACGTATTGAAAAGATCAAGACGAAGGTTTTTCTCGATTTTCGGCCTCTAGGGGCCCTCGCCGGGCCCTGGGATCGTCAAAAAACGACTCAGGATGAGAAAGCGGTCTTGGGAAAGGGGTCGAGACTTCGGGGGACCGCGTATTGAATTATCACGACGTCGGATCTCTGGGGATGTGGGGCGGCACCTGACGAGGGTACACCATCTGCGCCCACGTGTGGAGCGGCTCCGTCGTGGCCATGCTATCGGGCATCCGGTGCGGGGCCTCCTCCAGCAGCGATGCCAACCACGTCGACGGTGCCGTTGGAGTCTTGGCCCTGCGCTAGTGCGGACCACGTCCGTCCTCGTGGCCGGCGTTGACGGCGGGGCTCCGGCCACGTGGATTCCGTGCGCCATGCTTAGTGCCAGTGGGGGGCGCGCAATCCGTCGGGCAATCCGCGCCAGTCCTCGGAGTTACCTGGGTAGGCGCTCCTTGACCTTGCACACCCTCTTGTGGATCGCCGAGTAGGTTAGTCGAGCGCCCGCACGGCACTCCAGTCCCAAGACGGTGAGCGGCCGCACCGCCTCGACGCCGAGTGCGTGGCGTCGTCGCGCCAATTGCTCAGCCAGCCGCAACGAGGAGCCCAAGATCTTGGCCTTGTCCCTGGCAGTCGGGAGCTCCAGCGCCTCGAGGCCCGCGACCAGCCGCGCGATGAAAGCGGCCGCAAGCTCGAGCATCTCGGTCGAGTGGGCCATAATCTGCAGCGTGATGCTGCCCGCGTAGATGTCCAGGGTGGCCTTGAGGCCGTGCAGTGCGGCGCCGAAGACATCGCACGGCAGCGTCGTGACCAGCTGGAGGGGAGGCACACCGCGATCGTGCAGCAGGGCAGCGCCCCCGCCATGGTGCGCACTGCGCAGGAGCAAGTCGTCCCCCAACGAACCCTCCTGGGCGCCATGTACATGGAGAGCGCACCGCCTGGAGGATGTCCGTCGGGAAGCTGTGGTGCTGAGCTGCGCGGGTGATCTTGATCCACATGGCCCTGCCGAAGCACCTGCTGATGTCCACCAGCGTGGTGATGAAGGCGTCGCCGTCGGTGGCGTGGCGTCAGTCGCCTCGGCGTAGACCATGGTGCGAGCCCCCACATCGATGGTCGACCTCCCAGCTCCCAGGGCGAAATACGGCCTCCCATGGGCCGCCATCCACCGTCTCATGTGGCCTATGCGCACCTTGGTGTAGACCCTGCATGTAAAGGGGAGGAGGGCGGTAGGGCGAAGCCCGCCCTGCGCCTTCGCGAGGAGCATCACGTGTATGGCCATGGTGGAGGATGGCCATCGTTCCCAAGCCTCCGAAGCCCAGAAGATGTAGAGCAGCATGGCCAGCGCCTCATCGGACAAGATGGAGTAGGCGCGGGGGGGCATGGCGTCCACGCCCATGCCCGTCTTCCAAGCAAACGTCTACAAGGCCGCTCGTACCCCGCGAATCGTCGGAACGGGGACGGCGTCCCGCGGGAGGCCGCGGATGAGCTCAGGGATCTCGCCGTCCATGTCGATGAGGTGCTCTATGTCGTGCTCACTGGTGGTGGCCCTGTCGAGGTCATCCTGAACGTCAGTGGTGACGATGCTCTGGTCTGGCTTCTGCGAGATCACGGTGCCCTTCCAGATGTCGTTCCAGAAATCCATATGGCTGTCAGCCACCGCCTGAGGTAGTGCCGTGCGGATGCCGAACCTGTCCACCTCGTTGTGTGCCCATCCCTTCAGCTTCGTCATGCCGAAGACTGGCGACGCGCCCGTGATCATGGCGTCCTGGGCCCACTTGTGGAAGCTGATGGTGCGGCGCTTGGCAGCCTGCCTCTCCAGGTGCTCGGCGTGGTCGTCGATCGTGGCCGCGTATGCGGTGACGAGCGCGGCAAAATGATGGCCCGTCTGCATGACCGCGTAGTGGATCAGGCGCCAGGCCGACTTGAACAGGAGCACGCCCTCGTGCGTGTGAAGGCCCTGTCGGTGACCAGGTCGCAGTGCCCGCGTCAAGCGTGTCCATCGGGCTTGAGAATCCTCCAAGTGCGCGACCGAGTAGACCAAGTCGTGGAGTGCGAGAGCCAGATTGCACGAGGGCGAGGAGAAGGAGGAGGAAGAGGAGGAGGAGGAGGACGAGCCGGAGCGAGGGTGTTGGCGGGGAGGCCGGCGATCTCGGCGCCTCTTCCTCAGTCAGAGTCGTGCGCGGGTCCAGCAGCAAGAGGTCCGCACGTGCATATCCTGCTGCGTCCCCCCAGAGATCCGACGTCGTGATTTGTTCAATGCGCGGTCGCCCCGAAGTCTCGGCCCATTCCCCAGGACCGCTTTCTCATCCTGAGTCGTTTCTTGACGGTCCCGGGGCCCGGCGAGGGCCCCTATAGAGGCCGAACATCGAGAAAAACCTCCGCCTTGATCTTTTCAAGACGTTGGCGATCTGCGTCCCAGGCGAGGCCCCCCGGCCGCCCGCGCCCTCGGCGCGGCGGCGGCGCCCGGCGCGCCCGCCGCCGGCCGGACGCCGCCGGGGGCCTCCCGGAGCCTCGCCGCGGGCGGCCTGGCGGCGCTGGCGGCGGCGGCCAGCCGACGCGGGCGGGCGCGGCCGCGGCGGCGCGCGTCGGGCGCAACGTCGGGCCCGGACCTCCAGCGTCCTCGGCATCGCTCCGACGTGTGCAGTTTTCCCTCGGCGAGGACCATCGAGGAACATCCTTGATCACTTCGCGGAAACACCACGCACGAAGCCGAAAGACAAAAACACGGGGACTGGGCGTCCGAGCGATGGCCAGCGTCCCGAGAGGCTCGAGAGGCGCATCGGGCGCTCTCGGGAGGCCGCCCTCCGGGGGCCGATCGCCGGGCCCCGCGGGGCCCCGAGCCTGGGCGTCCCGAAGGGCTCGAGGCGGCCGGGGTGCTTTCTGCAGGCCCCATGGGCACCAGGCACGGGCCGTCGAGGCGCCCCTCGCGAGGCGAGGAGCCGGCCCCCCGGGGGAGAAAGGTCCAGGCTTCCTAGCAGGGGGGCCCCGTGTGCAGACCCAGACCTCCAACGTATTGGAAAAATCAAGACGAAGGTTTTTCTCGACTTTCGGCCCTCGCCGGGCGCCGGGACCGTCAAGAAACGACTAGTCGTTTCTTTCGGTTTCTCATCCTGCGATTGTCGGCCTCTAGGGGCCCTCGCCGGGCCCCGGGACCGTCAAGAAACGACTCCGGATGAGAAACCGGTCCTGGGGAATGGGTCGAGACTGCGGGGGGCCGCGCATTGAAAAAATCACGACGTCGGATCTCTGGGGAAGTGCGCGGCATCGGGCGTCTGAGGGAGGGGGAGCGGTCAGGAGCTCTGGCTCGGCGCGTCGCTTCCGCCGGTGCGGGCGCGCCACGCGTCGGCGCGGCGTGCCGCCCGCGTCGCGGCCTCCAGGCGTCAGAGCTCCCGGAGTTGTCCCGCGCCGCCCGCCCCGCAGAGCGGACCGACGCGCCACTCGCCGGCAGGGCAGAGCCTCGGCATCGCTCGGACGTGTGCCTTCTTCCTTCGGCGAGGACCATCGAAGAGCATCCGTGATCGTTTGGCGAAGAAGCCACGCACGAAGCCGAACAAAAAACACAGGGAATGGACGTCCGAGCGATGGCCATGAGCGCCCCTTGGAATTGCGTGGGCTGGTGTGACAGTCTCCAGGGCAACGTTTGGGGGGGTCGGCTCAGGAGAGGGGGGGTGCATCGACCCCCAATCACCCGCTGATGGTCGACGGGCCCGATAGTCCACCCCGTCCAGCCACGTGCGGATTCGCAAGCGGGGGCCTATCGCCGATCTATTGGCGATGTATCGCCGATTCCAGGTCGTTGCCTGCCATCCGGAGCAGGTCCCCCCCAATGTTCCCCCTCAGCTCAAGGGAGGAAACTACACAGATGCCGCTGCTCGTCCTGCAGAACCCTCGCCGCCGCACCTGGACTCTCCCCAAGATCCAGTCGGGAGCCTTGAGATGGGGATCGACGCAAACGGGAGTCAGCCAGAGCGCTGGATCTTGCAAGATCCTGCAACGGCAGGGTTTCGGGGGCAACGATGGGGGGGAATAGGCATAGGTGGTGATGCATCGACCCCCAATCGCCCACTGGTCGCCGATAGAGGCCCGATAGCCCTAATCTGTCCAGGAAGATGCGGACTCACTATCCGGGCACCATCGCCGATCTATCGGCTATGTATCGCCGATTCTAGGTCGATGCGTCCACCCCTATGCCTATCCCCCCCTATCGTTGTCCCTCAGGGTTGCACTGACTCGGGTTAGCGCGAAGGATTCCCCCCCGCGGGGAGTGGCGGTTCCTGCGCCCCCCAGGCGCGGCTCTCTCGTGCAGCAGGCCGCCACGGCAGTTGCGGAGTCCGGCGGCCTCGTCAAGAGCATCATCAAGCGGCCCGTGGACGCCAAGGAGATCAGGGGCAACGTTTTGAGGGGATGCGGTCAACACTGATAGCATGGATGACCGACGTCCCAAGGGTACCCTTGCATCCTGGCCTCTTCTGCCATCTTCGGTGCATCCTCGGCCACTTTCGATGGCCAGCCCCGCTCGAAGAGCCTTGACATGGCCTTCCTAGGGGAACAAAAAGTGGCACAAACATCAAAACTCGGAGGTCCGCGCGGATTGCTCGGATCCGCGCTGGACACCCCTGGCGGCGCCTCCGGCGCCGCCCCTGGCGCGCTCCGCGCGCCAGGGAGGGGGTCCCGCGCCGACACGAGAAGTCCGCGCGGACCTCCGAGTTTTGATGTCTGTGTCACTCGTCGTATCCCCTTACTTCCAAGACCCGGGAGGAGGAGGAGGAGGAGGAGGAGGAGGAGCGAGGAGGAGAAGCGAGGAGAGAAGCGAGGAGGAGGAGGAGGAGGAGGAGGAGGAGGAGGAGGAGGAGGAGGAGGAGGAGGAGGAGGAGGAGGGAGGAGGAGTGCACCCTTGCTGTCAGTTCTGACTGCAGGCTCGGGGTGGGCGCATCGACCCCCGCTCGCCCTTTCGTCGCCGATAAGGGGCCCCGCAGCCCACCCCGCCCCAGGGACCCTGCGGCCTCGCTGACCTATCGACCTATCGAGGAGGAGGAGGAGGGGGAGGAGGAGGAGGAGGAGGAGGAGGAGAAGGAGAGGAGGAGGAGGAGCGAGGAGGAGGAGGAGGAGGAGGAAGGAGGAGGAGGAGGAGGAGCGAGGAGGAGGAGGAGGAGGAGGAGGAGGAGGAGGAGGAAGGAGGAAGGAGGAGGAGGAGGAGGAGGGGACCCCGGGGCCTGTCGCCGACCTATCGACGATGCGTCGCCGCTCCCAGGGCGATGCTTCCGCCCCTCGGAGCCAGCCCCCCACGGACGCTTCCTCCCAGGAGACGCCCAAGAAGGGCGACATGGTGGTGATGCACTATGTGGCCAGCCTCTCGGACGGCACGGTCTTTGACAGTTCCCGCTACAGGAAGGAGCGGTTCCAGTTTGTGCTCGGCGAGTCCGAGGTCATTGACGGTTGGGACATATTGGTGGGGACCATGGCGCTGGGCGAGATCGCACAGTTCCGCATCCCGCCCGACTACGCGTATGGCGAGGCTGGCGCGAAGTACGGCGACGAGGTGATTGTGCCCCCGAACGAGACCCTCACGTTCGAGGTGGAACTCCTCGACATCGGCACTCCGAAGGAGGAAGAGCAGGTTGAGGAGGAGCCGGAGCCGGAGTCGGACGAGAAGACATGGTTCTGGGAGAAGGACCCTGAACGCGAGAGCGGCAAGGGCATTGGTTGGGCATGGCAAGCAACAGGTTCAGGTAAGGAAATCTGCGTCTCGGTGCCCATTCCCAAGGACACAACGGTCAAGCAGATCAAAGTCGACATCCGGACATTCTCGCTCCTGTGCAAGATTGGCAGCCAGGTTTTCATTGACAGCAAAATCTCGCAGGACGTGGACATGGACGACAGCTACTGGGTCGTCGACGTCAAGGACGACAAGCCCTACCTCTTGATTTACCTGGCCAAGCTGAACAAGGAGGTGCGGTGGGAGTCCCTGCTGTTGGGAGGGGATCCGGTCGATGCTCCCGCGCCCAAGGCTGTGGAGGCGGACGTGGTTGACGTTGACGCGGCGCTCAGAGCTGCGAATGCCACCACCCGGAGTTCGCCGGGCATCATCGACGCCAGCTGAGCCTGCCGGGCGTTCGAGGGGGTCATCGCGGGCGGCAACGCGCACCGAGACGCTCATGTGAGTTTAGACAACGAAAAATGCATTGGAACTCTGGCTCGAGGCTCCACCGTTCATCCGAAGGTGGAGGTGGGACTGCCTCCCACGGTGCTGCCAGAAGCATCCGATACCACAAGCAGTTCCTCATACTGGTCACGTCGCGCCATGGCCTCCGCCGCGTACTGGTCTGAGTCCCTGTACGCACGGCTGCCAAAATTCTGCGGGCGCATCCAGCAACGATGGGATAGCGTCTCAGAATGTTCGTCACCGTGTGCCGAGCAGCGGGGGCAGAGACGACGTCGAGGATTCGCAACCCCAAACTGTATTCTCGACCACGTGCTTCCAAACGCGATGGCCAGGAGCGTCTCAGCCCGCGGCGCCCACCTGGGCGTCTTACACAACCGGCGGAGGACAGCACGACAAGAGTCGTTGTAAACTCGATTGGTCATGCACACGATCTATGGAGCCAGTGAAGTCCAACGCGATATTTGACAAGTCAGTCCCCCTGTCCTGGCATCAGCTCATCGGGGAACTTCCGATTGGCGCTGTCGGTCTCGGGGGTGTCGGCGTGGCCAACGGTTCGTTGCAAGTGTGACTAGCTGTGCGGTTGTCACCCGGATTGCAACATGTTTGCGAGCGTTGATTCCAAACAGAGAGTTAGCGTTAGGTGGATTTGTAAATGATGTGATGCAAGCTATGTGGTTCAAGCTACGTGGTGGAAGATACGTGGTGCAAGCTATGTGGCTTACGCTATGTGGTGCAAGCTGTATGGAGCAAGAGCTGTTGTGCAAGTTTGGTGGTGCAAGCCACGTGGTTCAATGTACGTGGCGAATGCGAAAACGTGAAAGCTATGTGGTGCCAGCTATGTGGTCAAAGCTATGTGGTGTACGCTACGTGTGCAATTGCAAGCTAGGTGGTGTAAGCTATGAGTTCCAAGTTATGTCGTGCCATCTACGTGGTATAACCTATGTGGTCCAAGGTATGTGCTTCAATCTAATGGTACAACCGACGTGGTGCAAGCCATGGCGTGCAAGCTATGTGGTGTACGCTATGTGGTCCAAGCTATGCGGTGTAAGCTATGTGTGCGATATACGTGGTGTAAGCCATGGTGTTTACGTCGTGTAGTGCCGTCTACACCGTGCAGGCGGTGTGGTCGGTACTGTATTGTGCAAGCTTTGTCGGCTGAGCCACGTGGTCCAAGCTATGCGGAGCAATCGACGTGTGGCTATCCACGTGACGCAAGCCATGCGGTGCAAGCTGTGTGGTGCAAGCGATGTGGCACAAGCTACGTGTGCAGGCTGCGCGGTGTCACCGTGCCCTCCCCACCGCGTTGGCGCCCACGAGGCGCCCACCGGGGGGCACCGGGCGAGACCTCGGCAGAACCCCCCCGAGCACAGGGCACAAAGACGACGACGACGACGACGACGACGACGACGACGACGACGACGACGACGACGACGACGTACCCCCCCCCCCTCAGCGCGGGGCGCCCACGCGGCGTCCACGAGGCGCCCACGGGCGGGCGGGCACCGGGCGAAGCCGATCGGCAGACCCTTGCAGCGCGGGGCGCCCACGCGGCGCCCCTGGGCGGGCACCGGGCGAGGCCTATAGGCAGGCCCCGCCAGCGCGGGGCGCCCGCCCACCGGGGCACCAGCCCCAACAGACCTTGGGCGCCGCGTAATGCGGGGGTCATAAATGGGGGGGTGGCGAGGGTGGTCCGAAAAGGTACCCAAACGGTACCTAAACGAGCCCCCTGGGGCTCTGGAGGGGCCCGAAAGGGGCACGAAAGGGGACCTTTTCTGACCCCCCCATTTGTGCCCCCCTATTAAGCCACGCCCAAAGACCCCGGCATGCCCATGCAGTTCCTCCAGTCGGGGGCGGAAGAGAGGGGGGTGATGACTAGGGGGTGGGTGGGTGGGGGGGGGGGGATCTCATGGCGGGGGCCATGACAGTTCCCCAGAACTCATGGCGCCTCTTCTTGTTTCATTGCGTCCCTGGCCCCCCCGCTGGGCCGCGCACGTGCCGCCGGTCATGCTTTGCACCCCCCTCTTGGACACCCCCCTCTTGGCCGCTCCCGATCCAGGGAGATTCAGAGCCCCCTCGGTGCAAGCATCGTCTGGGGGCAAAGACTGGCGATGGCAATGGCTGGTCCTTTCATCTGCCGCGGCCGAAAAATTCGAAAGACCAGGCCGAACTCCAGACACGACAAGTTGCAGTCCTGACCGCGCTCGCCGAAGTCCACAGACGAAGCCATTCGCGAAAACACACTCGACCCGGTGGGATCCCCGTCGGCTCGCGCCACACACACACACACACACACACACTTACACGCACACACGCACACACATCCCCCCCCGAGGAGGAGGAGGAGGAGGAGGAGGAGGAGGAGGAGGAGGAGGAGGAGGAGGAGGAGGAGGGGGAGGAGGAGGAGGAGGGGAGGGGGAGGGGGTGGAGGGGAGGAGGAGGAGGAGGAGGAGGAGGAGGACGAGGAGGAGGAGAAGGAGGAGGAGGTTGAGGAGGAGGAGGTTGAGGAGGAGGAGGAGGAGGAGGAGGAGGAGGAGATGTGCCATGCATTTGGTGACTGTGGTGAGACATCGTCTGAGCAGCAGTCTTCTCGGGGTTGGTCGTCACTTCCAGCTGGCCCGCGCCCACTTGGAGAGGCGGGAGTTCTGCGTGCCAACGTCGATGGTGCGTTGGGCTCTGATGGTCCTCGCAGCCGGCTTCTCCGCCGCCAGGGCAACGCCTAAGTACGGGGCTTGAAGGACGGGACGGAGGCGATGACAATGATGACGTTTGAGTGTTGCTACAGTCGTGTTGGTTTGCATATTGGTTTCGCGCCCTGGAGAACACTTTTGGAGCCACCGTGAGCTAGTTCCCTGCCAGAAAATAGAATGTACCTGCAACTCCTTTCACCATGGTGCGATTCACATGTCTGTCTAACCCAACGACTGGTTCACTTAAGTCGTCAATCCAGACCTTTTGTTGAAGTCCTGTGTTCGCCAAAGTTATCTGTTTGAGCACACTGTGCCAGTCGTTTTCAAAAACGCGTCCCGTCATGTAAGTATTGAATGATGGATACGCTTGGCTCGCATGCATTCGTTACCGATCCACGCTGAGACCTGATAAGGCAAGTTGTGGCAATGTGTAGGTCGACCATAAAGATGACTGGTAGAAGCTCGAGATTCAGCACCGCGCGCGCGTTATACTCCAAGCAGCCATCGACTCTTTAATGATGCTTTGAGCAAGGTGTTTGCCAAGGCCGAGTTGCCTGCACTGGCGGCGTCCCAGCTCTCGCTGGAATATGTCGGTTTCTGACAGCGTCGCATGCACCGTCGCGAATCATGTGCCATATGGTGCAAATTCTACAGACCAAACAATCAATCGACATTCTTGCACCCTCTTCTGAAAGGAGCTCTTCAATCACTGGATCCTGCCAAGGCCATTTCATGATAGCCTCGGCAGGAGGGGGGAGCATGTAGGATAAGACCGATCGCGAAGCGACGTCACATCACCTAACCATAAGGCGCGGGCATTCGGCTCGGCCCTCGTTCAGGCCAACTAAATTTGGGCCATGTGCCTTCGTAGATCCTGTTGAGATAACTGGTGCCTGTGGGTGTGGGTGGCATACCAACCTGCGCGAGAGATTTTATCTGCTGGCTCCCAAAGAGGAGTGCGGGGACGGGGGGTGTAGCGAGGGAGGCGGAGGGGGGAGGATGGGTGAGGCGGAGGAGGGGGATGGGATGGCGAGGAGCGCGGAAGGGTAAGAAGGACAGACGTTGAGGGGGGTGGGGGGATCGGAGAGGGGAAGGAGGGAACATGTTGAGGGGGGAGGGGGGGTAGGAGGAGGAGGAGTAGGAGGAGGAGTTGGAGGACGAGGAGGAGAAGGATAAGGAGGAGGAGGGAGAGGAGGCGGAGCAGGGATGTCGCTTGCACAGAAATCAGTGATCGGGAAAGGCAGTACTTGACTCCGGGCTGCAGAACCTGGGGGGGAGGCGCGAAAGCACCTCCTCCCCCGGCACTGATCGGAGGCACACGCTGCCTCTTCAGCGTTCGGAAGGGGACGGGAGGGAGAGGGGAACGAGCGAGGGGAGGGAGAAGCAGCGGTAGGAGCGTTCGAGCCGGAGCTGCTGGGGTCGTCCGTCGGTCGGGGGAGGAGGAGGAGGAGGAGGAGGAGGAGGAGGAGGAGGAGGAGGAGGGGAGGAGAAGGAGAGGAGGGGAGGCGAGGAGGAGGAGGGGAGGAGGAGGAGGAGGAGGAGGGGAGGAGGAGGAGGAGGAGGAGGAGGAGGAGGAGGGAGGAGGAGGAGGACTTGATGTCCAGGGCGCCCTGCTGCCGCACCATGGCCTGCCTGCGCGTGGTGCGGACAGCCCGTGGGCGCGCGTCCGGGGCCACCTGGCCGCGCGCAGCAGGAGGAGGAGGAGGAGGAGGAGGAGGAGGAGGAAAAAGAGGAGGAGGAAAAAGAGGAGGAGGATGAGGAGGAGGAGGAGGAGGAGGAAAAAAAGGAGGAGGAGGAGGAGGACGAGGAGGAGGAGGGGGAGGAGGAGGAGGACCAGTATAACCCCAAGACCGATCAACGAGGTTGCAGTAGTCCCTCCCTTCAGGTTCCCTCGTCTGGTGTCCCTACAAGCACTCATTTTCACTGAGGGAACTGCCCCGTTGGAACACAACCGTGTGAACATCCTGAAGCGTGCCAGAGCACCATTCATGGAACTTCAGCGCCCCGAATCAACGTTACTTTGGCACCCTGGCGATCCTGACTCTCGCGAAAACACCCTTCCTGGGACTGCAGCACCGAGAATTATCGTTATTGCAACGCCCTGACGACCCTCTGCCATGCCAACACATTATTATTGGAACGTCAGCCATAAGCACACTAGAAACTGCTGTTAACTCTTAAGACGAGTGTCCGGGGCGCTAAGGCGAGAGCCACATTTTGAAAAGATGCTGCCCTACATTTATGGTGTTCTAGCATTTTTTCAAGACGAATGTGCGTTACGCTCAGGCCAGAGCCACATTTTTAAAGCGGGACGCCCTCCATCCGCGAAGCTCTCGCAACTGATGTGCTCGGCGCTGAGGCGAGAGCCACATTGTGGCATCAACCCATCCGCGAAACATTGGCAACCAACTCTTAAAATGAATGCGCGCGGCGCTGAAGGGAGAGCCACACTTGGAAAACGACCCGCCCTCCGTCCGCGAAGCTGTTGCAAGTCTACAGCTTAGTTATCACAAGCTGTGAGGGAGTCTCGGGCGAAACGCCCAGCCCGCCCTATCGACACGTCTGGGGGTGTGACTGGGAAGAGTGATCTGCAAGGAAAAGGAAAAGAGGAGGTAGGGG